CTTCCATGGCACAAAAAAGCAAATAAAATAAACAATGAAGATAAAATAAAAGGTTCAATTGAAATAACAAATCTATGTAAGGAATTAAAAGCTTTCCTTGAAGAATTAAAAACCTTTTTAACCGAACTTAAATCGGATCAAAATAAAACTCAACAACCCAGATCAAATGGAATAAACCCAGAAGGAGGCAAAAAACTTTGGAAAGAAAACACAGAACAAAACTCCAGCGAACCCTCTTCTTTCCAAACCCAAACTAAGAAAATGAAAAATAAACAAAAAGAAAAAAAAGTGACAACAGAGCAAGAAAGCACTCGATCAAGATCTAACTCAAAATCGAGAATCAGTATATCAAATGAAAATAAATTTGAACCTATGGAATATATAGAAATAGAAGAGAAAGTTAATAAACAAAATTCAAAACAAAATCAAAAATCTGAAGGGAAGGACACCACAAGCAGTTGAAGACAAAGCTTCTAAAAACTCAAGAGATGGAAAAAAATTGGAGAGGACAAATGATACCAACCTAGTAGGTAACTTTACTCCCAAAAAATGAAAATATAATCATGGCACATAAGATCCTGCAATGGAACTGTCGTGGAATAAAATCAAATTACAATGACCTACTCATACTTATGTCACTACTGTATCCAGCCGTCATCTGCTTACAGGAAACTTTTTTTACAAGAAAATACCAACTTAAAAATTAAAAATTATAAACAATACCACTATAATCACAATACAGGACATAGAGCTAATGGAGGAGTGTCAATATTGATCAGAAATGACATACCGCAAAGTAAAGTACACATTAAAACTAAATTACAAGCAATAGCAACACAAGTGACACTAGATAAAACCATCACAATTCTTTCCATTTATATACCCCCACAGGAACCAATAAACACAACAGAAATAAACAACTTGATGGAGCAACTTCCCAAACCCAGAATCTTACTAGGAGACTTTAACAGTCATAATCCTATATGGAATAGCAAAAAGCTAGATACTAAAGGTAAAATATTAGAAGAAATAATTAACACCCATAACTTATGTCTATTAAATCATAAATCCTCAACCTACCTTAATCCCTCCAATGGAACAGAATCATCAATAGACTTAAGTATAAGCGATCCAGAAATTTGTATGGATTATACATGGAAAACACATAGTGACACATGTGGCAGTGATCATTACCCGATCATACTAGAAAATCAAAAGCCTGCCAAGGAAGAAAAGATAGGCCCCGTCAGATGGAAACTGAAAAGAGCCAACTGGGAGGGTTTCAAAAACAAATGTAAACAAGTACTGATACAGTCAAAGGACACAGACAACTCGGTAGAATACTTTACCAAAACATTAATAACCATTGCCTCAGAAAATATACCAAAAAAAGCAAAATAATTATAAAAAACTAAACCTGGTTTGACAAAACTGCCAAAAAGCAGTCAGAAACCGGGAAGCAGCATTAGAAAAATTCAAGAAGGAACCCACAACCCAAAATTTGATTGAAATGAAGAAACTCAAAGCAGTAGCACGGAAAACTGTAAAAGAAGCCAAAAGGGAATGTTGGAAAAAATATGTAAACAGCCTAAATACACATTCTAAAACCAAGACAATATGGGAAATGATGAGGAAAATAGCTGGAAAAGATCAAATACACCCAATAATATATCTTAAAAAGGACAACACTAAAGCAACTAGCAAAAAGAGAGATAGCAAACCTACTAGCAGAGACATTTGCAGAAAACTCTAAAATGAGCAAAAATCAAAACCTACAAAAGTGTAAACAAAAAAGATATAAATAACCAACTAAATTTTTCATCTAAAAATACAGAAGCCTACAACAACCTATTCACTGAAGCGGAACTAATAGAAGCCATAAAAAATCCCATAATACAGCAGTAGGCCCAGACCAAATCCACTATGAATTTATTAAACAACTACCACAAGAATCGCTGAAATACCTTTTGAATATTTTTAACAATATTTGGACTACTGGGAAATTTCCCAAAATATGGAGAGAATCTGTAATTATTCCCATACTCAAAGAAGGAAAAGAGGGAAACAACCCACAAAGTTACCGACCAATAGCATTAACAAGCTGTCTATGTAAGACAATGGAGTGAATGGTCAACGCCAGATTGAGTTGGTTTCTAGAAGAAGGAAAACACATATCAGAATATCAATGTGGATATAATAAAGGAAGAAGTACAATAGATCACATAATAAGACTAGAAACAGCCATAAGAGAGGCCAATTTAAACAAACAACATCTAATAGCCATATTTTTGATATAGAAAAAGCATTTGATCAAACCTGGAAACATGGTATAATGAAAGATCTGCATAAATTAGGATTAAGAGGTCGACTACCAAACTTCGTAAAAGGATTTTTAACAGATAGACTCTTCCAAGTACAAATAGATACTACACGTTCTGATTATCAAAAGCAAGAAGAGGGAGTACCACAGGGAAGTGTACTCTCCCTACACTTTTCAAAATAAATGACATAATAAAAACATCAAATCAGGAATACACTGTAGCCTTTATGTTGATGATTTTACAATATATTACAGATCAAGAAACCTCAACACAGCAGAAAGACAACTTCAACAATGTTTACATCAAATAAACAAATGGACACTCGAAAACGGTTTTAAAATATCAAAAACGAAGACAAAATCTGTACACTTCTGCCAAATGAAAAAAAATTACACAATAACCCAACTCTAAAACTAGGAAATGAAGAAATACCAGTAGTTCAGCAATATAAATTTCTAGGAATGATCTTTGACAGCAAACTGACCTTCAGACCACATATCAATTACCTAAGAACAAAATGTTTTAAAGCTCTCCAACTACTGCGAACAGTAGCCCATACAGAATGGGGAGCTAGCAAAGAAACCCTTCTTAAGTTTTATAGAACGTTGATCCGCTCCAAACTGGACTATGGCAGCATGGTCTACCAATCAACTAGAAAATCTTATCTAAAAACAATAAACACAATACATCATGAAGGCCTCGGATAGCTCTAGGAGCCTATCCCACCTCACCTATAGAGAGTCTACATGTAGAGGCAAACGAACCCCCATTACAACTAAGAATGGAGAAACTAGCTACTCAATACTATCTAAAACTCTCTTCCTGTCCTTCTAACCCCACACACGATTGTGTAATTACACCAAATCACAAAGAGAAATTTAATCTTAACACAAATAAAATCAAAACATTGGGACTCCGGATGGAAGGAATCATCCAAGAAAATAATTTACCGTCTAATCAAATACTTAAAACCAACCAAACAAACATACCACCATGGATAATCAAAATCCAAACATAATATTAAGTTTAAACAAATTATCAAAATCAAAAAACACACCCCACAACATACATTGAAAAAAATTCTCAAAATAAAAGAAAAATATCAAAACTATGAAAGTATTTACACAGATGGATCAAAAGACGAAGAAAAAAAACAGGCAGCAATAGCAATAAAAAAAAGAAACAATTATCAAAAAACGCTTGCCAAATGAAGCATCAATTTTCAGTGCAGAAGCCTACGCAATAAAACTAGCACTAAATTTCATATCAAAAAACAAAGGAGAAAACTATATTATTTTCTCAGATTCATTATCGGTATTAACCTCCTAAAAGGGAAAAGACTGGAAAATCCATTAATACAAAGTCTTCTATATAAACTACATTCAATGGAAAAAGCAAAATATCATCTTCTGCTGGATTCCTAGCCATGTTGGCATCCAAGGAGGAGATAAGGCAGATAATGCTGCTAAATCATCTTTAAAAATGACAATTGACGAAAATCTTCAAATTCCATATACAGACTTAAAATCTAAAATATATAAATACATAAGAAACAAATGGCAAAATCTATGGAAAAACCAAACCGAAATAAATTATTTCAAATTAAACCTAAAGTAGGAAAATGGGGAAATGATCTTGGAAATACTCGGAAAAAACAAGTTGTCATAACCAGAACACATATAGGACACACATATTTAACTCATTCTCACATATTAAAAAAAGACAAATCCACCAAAATGTAAATGTGGAAGCCTAATCACAATAAGACATATTCTATCAGAATGCAAAATCATAACTAGGATAAGACAGAAATATCTCAATGGAAAAGATTTAAAAGAAATATTCAAAAATACAGACACAGAAAAATATACAGTTTTCTCAAGGAAATAAAAATCCTCAATAAAATATAAATAGTGTATATATATATATGCTTATAGACATATATATGCATCTATGAATGTAAACAGTAAAATACACAATCAGAAACGGTCACAAAAAGCAATCCCAAAAAATACAGAAAATTATGAAACCCAACAACCTTTCATCTTTTTATACAAAATAACCAACTTAAATTCATAAATTAATAAGGCTTCGGCATAAATTGACCCAAATAGGAGTTGACATGCCGTTAAATCCAACATCCATCCATCCACCTTACAACCCATTTCCTCACAGATGAAATGTTATGAGCCTTTTGTTACTCTATTGCTATTTTCATGGCAGATGTTCAGAAGAGCAACATATACATATTTGACTCATCCTCATTCATTTCATATTCCATTAGTAAAGATGAAGTTCCACTCAAATAGCTTCTCCAAAACTGTTACATTGTGGAACAGACTACCAAAATGATGACTCTCTGATCACTTCAATTTTAACCTCCATGTCTAGGATCAACTGTTATCTGTCTTACATATTCATGTTTTACTTCCTACATTTACACTCTGATAACAACCTCCTTCAATAACCCTCTATTTGAGTGGCTTTGGGGCCTTATGTTGTGTGAACAATAGTATGAAAAAAAAACAATAGTGAATATTTTCTGAAAGGTTAGTTAATGGAATGTAATAAAAAAAAAAAACAGCAGTCAGATTGCTAATCTGAAGAAAATAAAAGCAAAATTTTGTTTCATAAACAGATTTCTCTGCTTTCTTCACCTGTTATTTTCTTGTCTTGAAGATGGTGTGTCAAGGTGCCGTAGTAAGTCCTGAACCTTCAGCTCCATACCCAGAGTCTGAAGAAGCTGAAGAACCTTCAACATCACCAATTAAAGCACGAGGACTTCACTCTGAATGTTCCATTTGTCTAGACAAACCGGTAAGTATCCAATGTCAATTTGGAATTATCAACTGGCTTTTTTCCTAAATTTAGTTTTTCAAATGGAGGTGTAAAGAAATGCTTACCATAAATAGAAAGGCCAGATACAATTTGCTGAAACAAAATAACAGTCATGAGGCAGCATGGATATGGCTGAATCAATAAGTTAGTAGCCTGCCATATTACCATATAATAATCTGAATTTTCGTCTAAAATCTTCACTTTATAATCACTAAAATTAAGTGCATTGACAAGGAAAGCAATTAGCTTTATATATATATATATATATATATGTGTGTGTGTGTGTAAAATAATTTTTTTTCATTAATAGGCAATGAAATTAACTGATATAAATGAACAAAAGGTAAATTTGGCAATCTTTAGACCTTGTGCCCACAAAAAAAGTGTGTCAAAAGGACAGTTTCATCTTTACACCACTATTATTTTAACTATCTTCACTCCTTGGCAATGCTTAGTTTTAAAAGCGAAAATTACAATTTTAATAAAACCTAAACATGAAAGTGAATTTATACTTATTTTTTTGTTTGTTCTTGAGAATTTACAACAAAAATATTAAACACTATTTTTTTATTAGATTGTTTATCTGCAAGAATAGTTTTTAGAATATTGTAAATCTAAAATTAAGACAATTGTATTTAGACTAATACAATGTAATATTTATCATTTACCAGTTTATAAAGAAATAAATATGAAAACTTTTTACACAAAAAAGGTAGGGAAGGGGCTCCATTGTAAAATGTAGTTGCAAATATTTTATTTGTACAAATGGTAGAACCATTTAAAAATCTAGGTAGACATTTCTGGCAAAAGATAAAAATAGTTGGGTATTTATGAGGATTGAAATTTTATATGCAACAGTGTTTAATAATAATGATAAAAAAGACAGTAGTTCTATAACCATTGCTTTATGATAGATATTTTGTTATAAACTGTGGCATATAAAAGTTATTTTTTAAAATAGAACCAAACTTTTTATTTAAGATATTCATTTTTAACTTCTGCTTTTGTCTATTTTTCAGTCTGACATCATTTTCTTGAATTGTGGCCATGTTTGCTGTTGCTATGAATGTGGTGTTAATCTTGACTTGTGTCCACTATGTCGGTCAAACATTGTGCAGAAAATCCAGCTCCAGAACCCAAGCTGATTGAGTTATTTTTTGTGGAAGAGAAATTAAGAAGACCTCTACTACGCAAGCTGCTGTTGGCAGCACTACAAGGGATCATCGTCACATTTCTTTTATGTTCTGTATGGTGTATCTTTTGTTATGTAAGAGAATTGCAGCTACACTATCTTTACACGCATAGAGACACACACACACACACACACACATAGCTATCTCAAAGAACACTCTCAGGAAAGACATTCCTTTTTCTACTTTCATTAATCAAACTTTAAAATTTACCTTCACTTCCACAGTAACTTGGTCTGCATGAGATTGACAATATGCAGTAAGTAAAGGGTAGACTCTCTTTTCACATCTAACAACAAAAATAACATTTAATTCTATTTACTTTTATTGATCTGGGTAAATTCCACCTATCCTATTTGATTTACCAAAATTTTTTTTAATATATCTTTCTTAATCATTTTGACATCATTAATATTCTGAAGGTTGGAGGAACCAATGATGAAAAAAATATTAAAGACTAGAAAAATAACCAAGCTAAGTACGCTTCATGATACACATCTATTATTAATGACGGTAGATTTTGATGGTCGTCAGTTGATTGTCTGCCCTTACAAAACTATTATTTCTTCCTGATATCTTTCTCTAAAATCTAGTTAAAATACTCATCTGTTGTATGTTAAAAAAAAGAAATCAATCTTAATTTCCTTTTTTAACAGACTTGCATTGATATCGCCTCTTCCAATCATTCATTTGTTTGTTATAAAAACAAAATAAGAATTACTCAAATTTAAGTGATACACACACACATGAAAAACATGTCCTTCCAGAACTTAGTTTTGCATCATTTGCTCAAAATTTGATAAAATAGAAATACAATACCAGTATTGCAAAGAAATGTTATTGTATGTAGTAATGAGAACAATTATCAATGGAGGAATGAACTAAAATTTTCAAAGAGGGAGGGGGGGATGCCTTGTATTAAAACCATTTGCATAGAGGATTTTTGTCCTGATTGAAATACAAAGGCTTTTTATTGAATATAAAAATTCAATAATGTTTCTTTTTTTTTTTCTTTTCTCCTTTTAAAATTCTTCCGTGCCTATTTAAGAATAAGCGCTTCCTCTCAAAACTTTACATTTGCTCATCTACTTGTTCAGATTTGGAAGCAGCTGATGTTCTCACCTGTTTCTTCTAAGGAAATTTTAAATTTTTTCAATTTAGAGCATTTGAAAGTGTTTCTAATAGATTTTTTAAACACTGCCTTACAATATCTTTCTTTGCATTAACAAATAAACAATTTTTTTTTTTTTAAATTTTAAATTATTTATCCATGTTTTTAAAAAATTAAAATCCGAGTTTTGTCCTTTAACCTTTAATCTATTGAAGCCCATTTAACTATACTATTTACATATATGTATTATATAACTTAACACATCTTGTGATTGTCTGGCATGATAATTACGAAAATTAAATCTTCAAACTTCACTGACCATTCAGTCCCTGTTGTAGTCACCAAAGAAAAGGTTCCGGTGAAAACATTCATCATCTCTCCCATATTCATTATTCATCACTGGGCAAAAGAGCCGTCCTATAAAATAGACCATTTCTTTTATATTGACAGTAAAAGAATTGATTAAATTCGTAACAAGGGAAGTAACTCGTGACTTAATAATTCTTGGCGTCCAACATCTGACACACGATAACTCATTGTTAGATCTGACGATTCAGTGCCTTGTTAGATTAAAACAAAAATGTTAATTGAAGAATATTTTCCCGAATAATGTTACTTGGGAGTCTAAATTTTCTGGCTGAAGATAGTTTTGCCTCGTTGCAAAGTTCAGATAGTAATTTGTGGGTGCATGTCCAAAGTTACTTTGCTTTATAATGTTGTTCCAAATATTTTATCAATTATGGACATATAAAGCCAGTTACAGCAGTTAAATATAAAATTTGTTTTAGGAATTTTCATTACTATTGATTAGCTTGTTGGGTAAAATTCTTTAAGCAGTCATCTTATTGCATTTGATGACAAAAGGCCCGTTTTTTACCCAAATATAAGAATTTCAAAAATTTAAAACTAATGTTTTAAAAAGGAATTGGTTTTTGAACTGGTCCAAATAGGTAACATGGATGAAATTTCAGTTAAATTTGATGTACCATTCAACAATTTAGAAGAAAATATTCACTGCTGGAATGGAATGCAGTCATAAATGCTATCAAATCTAGTAAAGCTGATGAACAACCTTCATTCCAAATTTGCTCTCATCAATTTATTCAGTCTATTTTAGGATCTGAAGTCATAGGCATAAGAAAAACTGTAAATTTGTTTGGTACAATTTAATAAATGAAATATAAGTATATAATATCTTAGATCTTTATCTACTAGTTTCATTTTTTAGGCTTTACTTACAAATAATTAAAGTTGCTTTTCCTTGGTTTGTTTGTTACATTAACTCATGAGCAGCAAAGTTTAACTTATAAATAGCTATCCAAAATACAGTGCACTATGACAGAGGTACCACAGGAGGATAAAATGAAAACCAATAGGAAATAAATTATGAAATTTTAACACTAATTTAAAAAAAAAAAAAAAAAAAGTTTCAAATTTTCATATATCTGGGTTTTTCCATTGTGTGTTTAAACTTCTGTGATAAATTTCTAGGGAGAAAGAAAACTAATCTTATGCCTTTTGATGGCTTACATTTGAACTTTTCAGTTGGACAAAACATTGGCTGTAAGTGCGATGTAAGATTTGTTTTGATAGGAGCAGATGAGATGAAACCAACTTTTCTTTCACCATTCAGTGGCTCAAAATGTACGAGAGAGAATGGATAAGAATTTACTTAGACCTGATGACTTTTTTTTTCGTATTGGGGGAGGGTATTGAATTTTTTTTATTATTGAATTTGCAAACCTTTTGGAAAGGTAATGATTTGAATTTTGCTTTCATCCTGAAGTTCATTTTAAGAAACTTTTAAAAATGCACATGTGGAATTTTCTATTCTTCTCTATTTTTTTTTTTTAATCATTTAATACTTCATTGAATTGATATATATCTAAGTTACCTATTTAACAGGTACAATAAAGAACTGCAGTCATTCATTATTTAGCCAATGCAAACATCTACACACGCGTGAAGATCCATTCTAGAAGCAAAACTCAACTGATTAACTTTCCATGATGGCTTTCTGCTTGTTTTTCAAGCACCAGAAAATACAATTTCTTTCTTAAACAAATTTTGCAGTATTATTCAAATACTATTTTGGTTTGCCGCAATAACAATGGCTGTTTTAAGCTTGATTGTTAAAATAAATATGTGCATTTAACTGAATGTTTTTTTTGTTTTAAAGGGAATCATTGTGGATTTGTCTAAAAGAAAAAGAATGGTGTCTGTGATACTTTGATGGAGATTGATAAGTCAAGTATGGCTGATGATCTTAATCTTGTCCATCTGAAACTTATAATTATGAAATAATAAATATATATAAATGTTACTATTTCACTTGTTTTTAATTTTTATCTCTACAAGTTATGTGCAATAAAATAAATTCTTGTACAAACTGGTGCTGCACACAAATATAAAACAAGGACATCAAGAAGTGTGTGTATATATATTACATACATACATACATTTAATGTGAATAAAATTTGTCACTTAGCTGATTGATGTTACCTTCAACATTCAGACTCCAGAGTTTCATGGACAGACCTGTTTGTCCACTCTTTAGAGGGTATCAGCAATTTAATTGCACATATAGTGCTAGTGCAACAGTGTTCAATGTAATAAAACAGAGTTATTAATTATATATTAATAAATATGCATATTATCCTTCACTGGTAAAATGGGCATCCAGTTCTTTTCTGCTTGTGTGTGTGTGTGTGTGTGTTGGGGATTCTGGTTTAGAACATGACAACTTATGAAATTATACAAATCCCCCTAATTATTAATCTATAATATACACAAACACACACACATATATATATATAAAATTTAGGAAATTCTTTAACTTTTGTTCAATTCTAGGTTGGGGGGGGTGTATATATATATGCATTAAATATATAATAAATGATTCTACTATTATTATTTGACATCTTTTCATTGTCTCCAGAGGCCAAAGAAATTACTCCTGTAAGTAAATTGATTGAGAGAGACAAAAAAGTGAATGAAGTTTTTCTAAGGAAGAATAATTTTTATATATATATATATATATTTTTTTTTTATCATTTCTTCCCAAGCAAAGCAAGAGGTTACTGAATGCTAGAGAATATGATAAAGACTAATAAGGAGAGAGAGAGAGGACACTAAAATAATAAGAATTAAGGAGACAAAAGATAACAGTTAAACTTGGATTCAAATTTTTGAAGATCAAAGTTGACTGGGAGGCAAACTTCCAAGCCAGAAGAAAGGTTTGCAAGTGAGAAGTGCAAGAGAATAAACTGTTAGCAGAGAACTTAGTTACATTTAGCCATTTTCAACTGTAAATACATGAGACCTTGTTACCAATCTAGTACAATGCTTAAATTCATAAAGTCTAGGTACAATAGAGGAAAATTCATCAGAACAAATGCCATGAAATTATTTACATACACTACATTGCAGCAGTGGAAAAGGGACTGAAGCTGAGATGTCAGGACCAATAACATCAAAAATTCTTCTTTAGATTTTATCAAGAATCTCTGAATATATAGCAGGAGCACCAGACCACATGTGGCAGTAATATTCAAAGCAAGTATGAATGGTAGACTTATAAATATGTAAGATAGATTTTGGCAAGATAAAAAGTGAACCAGTTTTCTAAGCTGCAAACATAACAATACTCTTTCTACTTCATATCAGCTGAAAACATTAGTCTGATGAGGGACAATGAGTCACTCTCATTAGGTTAGCATCAGCCATACTGATGGAAGGTAAAAAAGGTTCTTTTAGATGATTAAAAGGAGAGTTTCGTTTTTGAGGCATTAAAATTAACAAGCCACTCCTTGCCCCATTTAACAACTGATTGTAGATTATTTTTTAGATCAGCTGCCAATTTGACTTTATTGAATTGATCAAACTTTAAAACAGGAGTAAATAGTTGTCATCAGCATAGATACCGAGTTGAGAACTGATGACATGAAGAAAGTCATTTATGAAAATTGGAAACAACGTAGGTCCAAGTATAGGGCCCTGTGAAATACCTGTATTTATTAAGATTTAAAAGAGTGGCCATTCAAGACAACTTTTATTTTGCGATTTGATAAAAAAGAAAACTGAATCGGTTCAAAAATTCATCCAGAAATACGATAACCTTTCAACTTGTGAAGACCAGTATGCCAAACCCAGTCACAATTGCCTTCAAGTTATCTAAAGCAACAGCTCAAGCTTCACCATTCTTATCTAAAGCTTGATAGACACTTTCAGCAATAATCATTAATGCAGTTGACCTAGAGAAGCAAAAGCCATATTGCTTATATGAAAGAAAACTGTGATGTGAGGTGCTTAACCAATTCAGAGTTAATTAGAGCTATCAATATTTACAATATAGACCTATTATATCAACAGTTAATTGCGAACTTTGTGACGAGTTTTATGCAGCCAGGTAAATTATTTAAAATAATATATATATACTGAAGCATTGAAAAGTTCTTTGTGAACAAATGAATGGAAAAAATCCAATGCTTTGTCAGATTTTTGGAAGTGGACTGAAAACGTTCACCATTCCAACCTTTTATCATTGTCACTATACAATAAAGCAAAAGATGAAATTATAAATAAATATTCAAAGGAATATAACACTAATTTTAAATAAAGGTTGAAGCAGAAAAGTAAGTTTCATTTTAGCAATTAACTTTAAATGATCCATATTAGTTTCAATTCAAACTGATCACTTTTTTTTTAAAAAAATCCATCAAAGACATTGCAAAGAAAGAGAAAGAAAGTTGTTAGCAAAAAGAAATGCATGTACAAAAGACCAAGGATAGGATATAAATGATTTGTGGCGACAAAGTGTTTATATATCATTGGTGAGAAATAAACAAATTTCAGATACCATAATAGCTAACCAAAACTAAGTCTTAATAGAATATGATAGCATAACGGGTCAGGCCACCACCTCGAATTTCTTTGATGCGTCCACAGTGTCGAAGTATGACCATGATTGAACGTAAAGTTGCATCAATGCGAACATTTGTATGTTCCTTTAGGTCAGCATCAATAATAAATGAGAAACCTGAAAAAGAGAGAAGCAAATACCTTTAGAGAATAAGAATAAAACAGGAGAGAGAGAGATAGACTGACTATAAATAATATTTAAGATAGTATGAGATGTTTGTTATTGTCACAGTATTATCAGCACAAGAAGACTTCATTATTAATGATAAAATATTCTCAGAAATTAAATAATTAAGAATAGTCTTACCATTGACAGTTTGAAAGAGAGGAGGGGCAGCAATACCATTAGACATGAGCTGTATTAAAAAATATGGTGTACATGGTCAAACCGGTTATGGCATCACCACTGTTAAATGAATTCCTAAAATATGGTGTTCAAGTTTCATCAGAAGATATTTCTTTTTGCTACGTAATTTAATTTTTCCACCAGGAAAGGTGAGATGTAAAGAAACAAGACAACTTCAGTGTTGATTAAATGTCTCTGTTAAAAGTTAAATTTATGTGATATAAAGATTAAATAAATAATTTATAAATTTATTATTTAATATTTCCAATGAAGTCTTTTTTGTTTTTTTTAAAAAGAAAGATGTTGTTATAATTTGGAAATTAATGCAAAATATGTAGGTGATTAAATGATTCCTTTTTTTTTTTTTATAATCAACTTGTGTTCACTATCAAACAATCCTTGTTTTGTAAATCATACAATTTATAAAAGATTATAAGTCTGACATTGAATAAGCAAGTCTCGTAAAAGGTAGACTGCAGGAGACTGTGGTACAAACAATAAAGAGCTGAGAATACCTTAAAGACACTTCTAAGATATTCCTAACATTATGCAAAAGATAGTGCTGAGAACTTTCTGCACAAGCCTTTATATATATATATATATATATATATATATATATATATATATGAAATGTTATTGATTACCTTGTGTCTGTGCATTTTCCTGTTCTTTATATGCTTTATAAATTTGTTTCTTCTTTTCTGGAAGTGTTGATTTCTTTTGACGCAGTAATTTATATTTTATCTCAAAAGTTTTGTTAATCTCATCAATAACAGAATTAATTTTATTGTAGGTTAGTCTTCCTTTCATGTACCTGTCATAAAAAAGAAAAATATTTAAAATTTTCTATTTGCTGGAAGTAATATTCATGAGCAAAATAGAAAGATACACAAATTTAAAGAAACTATTCACAATGATTGGCACATCACAAGATCATCTTTATACTCATCTGCTTAACCTTATCATCATAATAATTCATTGTCTAACAGAATAAGTTACAATTATAATTCAATGTCTATGAGGAGGAAGTAAACCTGAAAACGTTTCCTTTATCACTTAAAAAAATTCCATTCTTCATCAAAGATATAAAAGACAGATAATGTATTTTTTTTCTTTTTTGATGAAAGAAGCTCATTTAACTAAATTTAGATATAGTTTTTTTTTTGTGAAATAAATGTTTGATGTTTTGGCATACATCTTCTGTGATGGTTTTAGCCAAGGATGATTAGGGGTTTAGGGTTTTACAACATAATACCACCACCACAGTGACTCAGTCAATACTGATACTTGTGTTCTATCCATCAGCTATAACTATCCTCATACTATGCCTTAACTCACTGCGACTCATCTGGCTTTTATAGTCAAATCACAGACAACTTCTGGTTCACCAGCTTCTTTTATAAAAGAAAAGGAAGCAAATGCAGTAACCATTTCATTCTTAAGAAATATAGTGACACTCTTGACTTTAAATGGTAAGTAACGATCTTTCATTTCACTCACTAAAATACACACACATCCCCTGACTAGTGGGCAGAGCAATTGCTGGAGGGTCCATCTATGAAACTCTAGAGTTGAGATGATGACGGTAACAGCAATCAGCTAAGTGATAAATTTTATATTTGTATTAATCCTATGACCAGACATAAGCAAGTATATACACGCATGCTGGTATTTGTGTGTAAGTGAATATAATGAACTCAAATCGATTTTGAACTTGGCTCTCTGAGTTCTTGTTCTGAGCCAATATCCATTACACCACAACACACATCCACATAACTTTCTAGTCAGACTAATATTCTCATCTTGATTGTTATATTCATACTTTGGCCATTGTACTCTCTGGCCTTTTTCACGTATCTATCAGATTCAGTAACCACCTTGGAATTTTGAACCATACAAACCTAGTTTGGTTTTTGTTCTGATAAGAGGTGTAATGATGTCATTAAACAACTGCAGGGGATTGCATA